TTCCCTGTGTTAGTACTGCTAGCTTGACCAGGATTTGTGGTGATTTTATTGCTTGCAGAAATGTTGAAGACAATCCTTTCATTTTTTTACCTTCCTGAGGTTTTAAGAGCCGTCTACTGTAGACTCATAGGTTTGTGCTGAGATCTGTTCTGTAGTAGTTTCTCTAACAACTTGTAAGATAATCAGGTTCGCAGATCAGATCCAGTATTCATAAAAACGGTATTTTAATGGAACTTACATAGTGCATTTTGTCTTTTATTCTTCTATCTGTGAGATTCATCAAAATGATACATAACTGTAGAATTTCTTTTCCATTACAAAAAAAAATGTTGTTATATTGCAAAGATGAATCATTTGGAGTCAAGAGAGATTAGGTAAGTTTAAAACTTAAATTTTAAAAAAGAAAGGAAGCCAGGCAAGTAGAGCGGCATAGGAAGAGTGAGGAGGAAGCATGAGAAGCAAGATGGGAGAGGAAAGCAGACTAGAGAAAATTAACAGGAATATACCTGTGTTGGTGTCAAGGAGTAAAATTACTGGTGTAATGTTGTATCATCATCTTCAAAGATTGGTGCATAGGGACTGGGGCATTTGAATGCCACTCTTTATTGGATTTTATGCTGTAAAAGTTACAATGGCTGTCAGAAGAGACATACTGTGTTGTGTAAAAAAAAAAAAAAAAAAAAATTGATCAGAAATGCCTGGGTTCAGCCTGAACAGGTTGCTCATCAACAGAAAGTACCTGCCACTTTTTTCTTATTTATCATCTGCTAGAGGTATTCATTGTACTTGAACAAAGTAACATGTAATCTCTGCTGCAAGGTGCATACAATCTAATTTAACAAAGATTTTTTATTTCTCCCTGCTGTGAAATTATGTAGTTCTGTTGTGTTTTGTCTTTGTTTCACCTTCAGGAAACCCTGTTCAGCAGATTGGTCTCAGTGTTCCTGTCATTATTATAAAGCAGGAGGAGGCCTGCCAGTGTCAGTGTGCCTGCCGAGACTCTGCCAAGGACAAAGCCACCATTAAGAAGGAATGTTCCTCACCTGATTCAAAAGCTTTGGAGCAGCCAGCTCCCCAGCTGCAGCCTCAGACCTTTCCTTCCTCTTCCCCTTCTCCTTCCTGTGGGCAGAGCAGTCAGATAGTTAACCCTTCCGACTCACAGACTGAAACATTAAGTGCCATGGATGTATCGGACTTCCTGTCCCTCCAAAGCCCTGAAACCCCATCTAATATAATTCCAATCGAAGCACTACTGCAGGGTGAGGAAGAAATTGGTTTGAATAGCAGCTTCTCTAAGTGAAGATGTTCCAGATTTTCCTTTGCACCTGGAGGGTAAAACCCTTCTCCTCAGAAGCAGAAACTGAAGGATTGATTCTTTTTCCTTCCTCTTTGGAAGTTTTGTGGCTTATTTCTGCTTCACAGATGTCATCTTAGTCACGTCCCAGGTACATCCATCTTTGAGAATCTATCTAAGAAAAGGAAAGAAAAAAAAAAGCTAAGTTATATATGAACTGTTTTGGCTGCACTGTCTGTCACTTTTGCTTGTCATATGTGAACACAGAAGTTAAGGTTACTCGTGTGCAAAAAGATTTTAAAAAGAAAAAGGGGGGTTAGTTTGTTTCCAATTGCACATCACTTATGTTTGGGATTAAGGTACTGGCAGCGAGTGGGTCTTTGTTACAACTCTTTGGGTCTATGATTTTCTTCTGTCTCTTATGTCTGATACTAATCATGCACTATAAGGGGAGCCCAGGAAAGGAATTTGCTGTAGTAGGAAAATGGCGTTATTGTAGAAGATGATTTATCTGCAATTTTATTGGAATGCGATTGTCACATCACTGAGTTGGGAGCTGATACCTGGGTTTGCTTTGTACTAACGCTGTTACTAAATCCTACAGAAATTTTTCGGGAGTTTATTTCAGTAGAGCACAAGTACCTTGTGCGCCTGATAGATTTGTTCATTTAATTTCATTAGGACTTAAGTGTGGTGGCAGACACGCTGTTTCACAGCATGGAAACACAATCGGAGCCCCTGCTTACTCAGGCTCAAGAGTCTGTTTTCTTTGCCTCTCTTTGAAGGATGCAGTGAGTCCCAGATGTAGTCAGATTGGTGCCTGCTGCTCTTTTGATTTATTTGGCTCTGTTCAGAAACAAGTCATCCTTTTAACCCCCGCGACTGTTTAATCAGGAGCATGGTGCCTTTGCTGGTTACTCTCATCTTTTGTCAAGAACAACTCTAGGAACATTTTCAGAATGATTCAACATAAATTCAGTTTGAATTCAGTGAGTCTGTCCTTCAGCTGTCCATAAATGCTTCCTTTTTTTTCTGTTAAGCTATATAATTTCTGCCTGAATCTGCCTCCAACCTACTGCAATGCCAGCTTTTTGTGCACGGGGCTATTTCTTGACTAAAAGATGTTACAGAACATAGTAGTTTTTCATATCAAACTGAAAGTCTATATTCTAACCTACTCAGGGTAAATAAAACACAAATCCCCCTTCCACCAAAAAGCCTGTAATGTTGCAATAAATGCAGTCTCATTCTAAATGGTTTATTTATGCTGCATTATTTTAAAAGATGTAATTTTATAGTGTTTTATCCATCTTTCTGGCTTTGGCTGTCTTTTTGTGTTAAAGGAAAGAATATTAAATAGTCTTTATTCAGTTTACAGTGTTGTCTTTAGTGAGATACAAAGATAATGACTGTAAGCCAATTAATGTGGAGTGTCTCTGGGCACTAAACTTAGGAATGCAAACTCCTTGTGGATAGAGATCTTTCACTCTTTGTAGTCGATCAAAGCTGCTCTCTGTACCTGCCGGGGGGAGAATCATATGAGTGCAGCCAGACCTCCCCAGGATACCGGAAGATTAGCAGGTTTTTTTAACCCTCTTGTGACGTGCTCTGTGTAGCCTTACCAATACCGCTGTCACAGTCTTAGCTGAGACAGTGGCTTAAGCGATCTCGCGCGCTACTCCCTTGCGAATCTGCTGCCACAGCACAGATGGAAATGGGCTGAAGGGAACTGGCTTTTCACCTCTCTGACAACTTGCTTCCACTTGTTAAGTGCAGAAGGGTAAAACTGTCCTGTTAGGGCAAACGTGAGGGAGGAGAGGCTGTGCAAAGAATGCTTTGTGCCTGGGAAGTGTCGTGTCACTCTACTAGGGCAGAGTGCTCTGTTTAGGTAATGGCAGTGACGAGCTTGGGGGCACCAGCTGAACTGGAAACATACTGGTTGTGTTTCCTCTCGGTGCGCGTTGGCACGTGTTGCAGTGCTGTGCAGCGCTGTCGCAGCGGGGATGTGGGTCCTGCAGCAATAAGGTTTGCCTCCACAAAACGCGTATTAACAAAGCATTTTATGTTTTGTTCTTGTGATGGTAGTCCCTAGAGGGCAGTGAGATGGTGGCCCCCTTTGTTTTTCTCCTACAGCTTCATTTTGCAATGCAGTTTGGTTGCACAGCAGCAAGAACTGCTTTGAACACAAAAGAAAGTCTCAAGCCTGCGTGGCTGGGACTGTCCTCACAAGGATGAGTCTCCTGACAGCTCTCTCGTGCAGAACTCCGCTTCAGAGTGCGAGTGGCGCCTGGAGCTGCGTGGGGGGTCCCCCTGGGGCACAGGCCACTGCAAGGGGCCTTGCACCTTTCCTGTGGTGTAGTGTGGCAGTGGTGTTTGAGGGTGAGTGGACGTGTGCGTGCGTGCATGTGAGAGTCTGCTAATGCAGGAGCATGTAGATTCCCCTGGAGCTGCGGGGTTTTCTCTGATGGGGACAAGGCTACCAGATGTGGCCTGGAATGTGACAGCTGGGGGATTTAGCAGCCTCTTCTGAGCCTTTCCGTCCTTCAGGGAAGCGTTTTTCCATGCTACTTTTGCTGCTTGTGACTTAGTCCACCTAAAACACGCTTCTGGTTGGACCAGATGACATCTTCAGAAACTCCTTTGTGACAGAAATGAGTAGAATAATCTACCAAAGGCTTTGAAATTGGAAGCTAATTTAGAAGTGTGATTGGCAGCAGTGAGGTGCTGCATGCATCCTTTTGAGTGGGTGTCAGAGGTTAACCTCTCTGCTGTTTTCTCTTCACAGCTACTGTTTTCTCTTGGTGTCTTCTAGGAAAAGCAATGTGTTCCAAGTTTGTGCTGACTTTTAGGTGCGTCGGGTTTGCCGTTACCCTCTTGTATGTGCATCAGGCAGGCTGCGATTTGGATGAAACTAATTAGAGCTTGTAATGAGGCAAGAGCAGCGTGATTCTGTGAACACACAGGCTGCTGCACCACAGACTGTGCATCCCACCCAGTCGTGTTGTACAGATGTGTGCTTTTGTTTAATTGTTGGTCTGCTTTCCAGAGTGTTCCATGCTGCGTGTATCTGATATGTTTCACAGTGGACATTTGCATCATCCCCAGTGCTGTGTAATCAAACGTTGTACTGCTGGGGTGGTCGTTGACACACTTGGATGGGAGGAGATCTGTGAGCAGCTGGCAAGAGAAGGCAGTTGCAGCAAAGCCCTGAGATTCCTCAGAGCCAGAGAATTTTCTGTCCTTCTCCCCTTGTTGCTCCAGCATTTAGCATAGTCACAGTAACGTTTTTAATAAAGAGGGGAGTTTCTACCATTGTAGATCTGGTTGGATTCCCAGAAAGGGGCATGTTCTGTTAATACGCTGGAGCCTCTGAGAACAGTGTGCCCTCCCTCTGCAAAATCTGCATTTCACAAACCCCTTTAATTATCAGTCAGAGAGCAAAACTGCACTGCTCTGGGTCGTTCTGTGTTAAAGGTTTTGCTGTTTTGTGGCTTGTGGGGATTTACTTGGTTACTTAACAGTTTCTAGATGGGTGCAGAAGCTTAAACATGTAGAATGGGTCTAATTACCAACATCGGTAGCTCTAGTCGCCAAGCAGTGACCCAAGCAAGCAGACTTGGCGTGCAGTTGAAGGCTGTAGAAGTTGCTTTTCATGCTTGTAGATGGTAGAGGGATGGAAAATCAGCACTGTTTAAATGCTGGTACTGAATTACATAGAACAAAGTACGAATTGGGCACTTCTGTAATGCTGACCGTGTCCAGAAAGACTAGTTCGCAGAACCTCATACTGGTATCTAAAATGCACTTTAGGTTATTTTTTCTTTAACCCAATTGCTGCAATTTCTTTTGTATATACTTTCACAAAGTTTATTTTTGCTCTGAGTAAAAGTTAACAGGGGTGTGCAAAGATGAGCACTTAACTTGGTGCAATACTTGTAGCTAAAGATCATTGTCCCATGTGGTCAGTCTGTCTGTGTCTGTCTAACTGAATATATATAGTAACTAGCTCAGTGACATACTGCCCTTCCCTGTCTATACCCAAGAGAAATTATGCATCACTAGCAAACGTCCAATCTATGCAAATATTCCACTGAGAGCACTGTGCTTTAGCAGGCCTTTTCTCTCACGCTTTCTGGTGGGCTGCTTGTCACTTCTGTTGGACATAACTGTGTTCCTTGGTGTATATCCTTTCTCCCTTGTCCTCCGCTCTGTTCTGCCGCACGAGTATGAACAGAAGTGACAAGCTGTTCTGAAACAGGCATGTTGCACCTTTAAAATTTGTCTTCACGAGATCGTTTTTGATGTCATGTTATCTGCCTTACTTTGTGGAGGATGGCGCTTCTGCAGTCATCCACGATACTGTTTTTGCAACTGCAGCAACACTGTTAAACTGTTTACAGTACTCTTCCTGCACCAATTATAAATAAGGCTCGGAGAATGAACGACTGGCCTGTTGGTTGTGGAACTGCTGGGGGAGAGTAGTTAAGGCATAATTGACCTTGGAGCTGATCGGAGACGAAAAGCTGTTCCTGATTTGGGGGGGGGGGAAAGCACAGCTAGCAACTGAAATGAGAGGCAGCCAGGTCCGTGATGTAGACCAGACGGGATCTTGGTGTCGCATCCTTTGTTCTGCTGCTGGCTGGCTGTGAGACCTTGGGCAAATCACCTAACCTCTCCGTGCCTCGGTTTCCTCCCTGTGAAATGAGGACAATGAAACTGGTCTTTGTAAAATGCTTTGAGATCTATGGGTGAAAAGTCCTTGGCATTAGTGATCTGACCTAGCTGGGCAGAACTGTTAAGAGTCAATTTGGACTGTAAGGCAAAAAAAAAAAAGCATGTCTTTTAATAAACCCTACAAATTTCTGATTGCATAGTTTTTAATTGGTACACTATTTTTTCCGTAACATATTTTGGAAACAATGTCAAGTTTTTATAAATGTTACCTGTAGTTGATACTCATGGACAGGGCTGAACTTTTAACTTTTTTGCGTCTTGTCTTGGTATATATCATATGTTCTAGAAGTTGGATTCTGTGTCTGCACTGAGAAATGCAAATTAAACTGGATATTTATGTAGTAGTGTACATAGTCTAAGTGTGTGTGTTCTTGGAACTAGTTTAAAAATCCCACACCATGCTTTTGGTGGTGTGCAAGCTGGCCAAAATTTGGTTCATTATGCAGTGTACACTTT